CGGACCAGTCGCTTGGCGGGAGAACGACTCGGCAGAGCGGCGTGTACACGCACTTAGGCCGGGCCCTAACAAGCGCCCCTCTATAATTTTTAATATGCCCCCATCACAATTCACAGGACAATGAGTATGTGGCTCAGTGGTTAGGGGCGTTTGGTTTCTAACCAACAGGTCTAGAAATGCAGCTTGCAAAACCTGGAGTTGGGTATGGCTGGCTGATAGTGACTTATAAGCCAGAAATGGTCATTCCAGCCTTTCTGGTATTTTTCGGTAACCTCCTGCAGTTCGCGCCTGCCTACGGCACTCTAAAGCGAGTCCCAGAATACAGTGGATGCCACGGGTAAGCACTTTTCCCCCCTACTCCTCCTCCTCCTCCTTGTGTTTGCTGACCTTTCAAGGCGGCTAATCATGGCTTACAAAGCCGCAATCGTCCGGAAGCGAAACCAGGATGGCCAGGCATACCGACAGGCTCACTACCGCCTGGGCGGATAGCAACCATCGGTACATTTTGATTACGGTATATAAACTAGCGTATATGAGTATTCAGCCCAAAGAGGACAGCAAAGAACCGTACACACACACATCGTGCAATGAGAGAGAAAACTTACTGTTTCGAGAGCCAAGCCTCATGCTCAAACGCCAACTCCGGCATGCCGACAAGATTGGTGAAGAAGTCAATGTGCCGACGAAATTGGGCAATTGATTCGGAGGCTTGCAGTTGAAAAAATAGGCGACAAATCTAGCAAACGGGAAAAAATAGGGGAGAGGTAAACGAGGTGAAAGGACCAGTTAAACCCTGGTCCACACAAAATGGAACACACCTTGTAGTTTATAAAGCCGGCGACCACCTTGACCTCGAGGAGATGTAGGTCGTGTACGCGCAGTTCCAGGAGATTGTTGTAGGCCTGTCTGTAATGTCTTTAACATGGAGGGCACAGACATGCAAGAAGAGAGCTTTAATAAAAGTCGTACACCTGTACAACAGCGCAACAGTTAAGGGGCACATAAGGGGGGCGTTCGGTTATCTCGGTGGGCATGCGAAAACGGTAAGTATAGGCAATTTTGTTCCATGGTGCAGCTGAACATGTGCAATTTGTTAGAAAAAAGTGAAAAAAAAACGCGCTAGTTTTAGTAATTAACACAACTTTAGGGTACTAGATAATGTGCATGCTGATAGCAACGTCCTCAAAACTATCTGGGAGCCTTCTATCTAACTTGGACCGCCATTAACTTGAATAATCACTGTCAAAACTGGCTTACATTGAAGGCAACTTTTCCAATAAGCAACATTTACAAATAGTTGCGTCTCTGGCAGATTTGAGTAATTATTTGGTAGGTGTCTAATTTACCTCCCAGAAATTGTTTAAATAATCTAATGCTAAATATATGTGCTTCGCCGATCTAGTAGAGAAACAAGAAAGTTCCACTTTGCCCAGGAACTCACAATTAGAGCCCGCGCAGGCAGTCACATAGTGACTATGAAG